CTATAAGAGTCCGTATTTTATTTTGTTGATTTAAGTATGCCCGAGATTTTTTCTCTCTCACAGATATCTAACTAGTCCCATGTACATCATTGTGTGTTAAAAAAAAATCTCAATACTTATTGTTTCAAGAGCTGCAGAAAAAAAAATCCTCTATCCCCAAATTAACAAATGTGCAAATAGTATCAAGTATTATCAATATTACCAAGTAATATTAATTTAAATCTAAATCTAAATTCCAAAACTTCTCATTTGTAATCTCAGAAAACTCATGCTGGAATAGTGCTAATAAAAATGAGGGAACAATAGGACCAGTCTGAGACAGAAAGATTTTATGCAATTTCCGTACAAAACTGTACCAATCAACCTTAGAACTGATCTGCAACATACTCCTCTTCTCATCCAAACCTTTCTTTCAGGGGAGAATGCCAATGGTTCCAAACCACATCATGGTTCTTTGGTGCGCAAGTACAGAAACTTAGATACAAGAGGGGCAAGGTTTTTAAAAATCTTTTACTGACCCAGCTGTATAGTTGAAAAGAAATTTGACAAGCTTGTGAGAACACACTGCTATGACTCCTCAGGAAATTTATATATTCTTTAACTAAAATGTAGGTTGTACATCTAGTCAATTCCTTTCTTATACTGATTTTGTAATTCATTTAAAAAGCCATCCAGCTTGTCTGGTATGATTTGTCCTTCATAAATGCACGATGCTTATTCTTTGTATTTCAATTATGTAAGGATTTATGCTGCATTCTAGTTGACAATATATGTCATCCATTAATATTTTATCATATGAAGATTAAGTTTAGGTTTCTGAGGTTAAGACAGCGCCTTTTCTCTCCTAATATCTCCTTCATTGTGAATGATTTTTCAAAAATTGAGAGAAATTGTGTACATTAATTAGCTATTCCCCTACAAGCCCTAATTTGTTCATGCATATTTTCCAAGTGATCTTTTCCTTCCATCACAGCAATAAATTTCAGTTTCCAATTACTTTCTAATTGTACATTCTTCTACATCAGTTTAAAAAAGCAGTTCAACAGAATTGTGTTTATTAGTCTCCCATTGATTAATAGGTCTTCTTCCTTTATAGAGTTTCCCCATATATATTTAAAAGCCTCTCTCAGTGCCCTAGGCCCCTCTCCCATGTGGTTTTTCTCCCAATGTTACATTTTCCTTACAAGCCTTAACTAGTACTGCAGGTTCTTCTTTGGTTCTTTCAGTTCATAATTTCCTGTACAGGGTTTTTCTTCAATTTTAGCTCCTTTAACAATTTCTTCTAAAGCCACACTAACTACATCTTGCTTTCTGAGCTCTGTGTGTCAGTAGAAATATAATTTTTTAGATCCAACTTATGATGTCTTTTAGGAAGCAGGGGTTTCCACACACAGATTCCACCCTTCCATTGTACCATGTTAAGTGGTTTCTGGATACAACACAATGTGTTTTATTAAGAACCAGTGACCTTTGTATGAAGCCCTTTTTCATATTCTCATTTGGTTGTTCACAACCCAGATCATGAATTTATCTTCTTTCTAAGTTAAGAACCCTTTTAAAAGCACAACTTCCATAAGATATGTCAAGTAATACATGAGTGAGTGCTCCCATCTCAGAAATCTATTGGAGATTCATAAAAATTTACCTTGTTTTTTAAGTTGTTATATTCTGTAACCTTATGCAAGAATATTTCACAGCATTTTAAGTCTCAGAAGTATTATTTTATCAGTCACTTTTTAAACCAGTCCTGCAGTTATTTACTGTTAACATTTCAGTTAAGTGCCATTTTATCAGGTTCTATTCATGCCAACCAGGTCATCACTAAGCATAACCTGAAATATACTTTACTCATTACTCATACTTCTTTTGTTTATATGCGAAAGTGCGTGTATACACTTACGCAACAGCTTCCTTCTTTAAGCTTACTTAAACCCAGGATGCTGTTACTTGCCAAGCCATTCAGCTCTCAGCCTGGATAAGGCATGTTGATACTCCATGAATCCCAGAACTATTTCTGTACAATACAATTTGTACAGCCAGCATTTAGTCTCCATCATCACTATTTTTCTTTCTTCACTACTACTTGTCACTGAGAAGATCTTTTAAACATTTGTCCCTGTCTTAAGTTCTCTTCTCAGGCATATACAGTTGGCAGAATAAAGAACAAACCTCTCTTCACTGGTCATATGGCCTCTGTTTTTTCAAGTCCTTGCAAAATTTCCAAAACACTTGCCAGGCTACCCTTTGCCCTTGATGTACCTCTTTCCAAGAAGCAGCATATCATCCCTGTAGTCATTATGATTTCATAGATTTCATAGACATCAGGGCTGGAAGGGACCTCGGAAGATCATTGAGTCCAGCCCCCCGCCCAAAGGGCAGGAAGTCAGCTGGGGTCATAGGATCATTTACAAAAGGCCTAAACCTTGGTCGTCTTTGTCATGCTACTCAGACTTCTTGTCTTTCTCTCTCTGCTTGCTCGCACTCAATTTTTGTATTGCAGTCAGTGACAAGTTATAACCTGTAGTCCAATTTGTTTTAGTCTAACCCAGGGGCGGGCAAAATACAGCCTGCCATGCACTTTCATCAAGTCCATGCATACCCATCAAAGAATTGAACCCTGCCCAACCCTTCCACATACGATGCCCATGTATACGCCCCCAACATGTGCCTCGCTCCCACCCCTTTTGTGTCTCGCTCCCACCCTTGTGGGTGGAAGGGCCAAGCAGTAGCTTCTGGGTGGGGCTGTTGCTGATGCTGTGGCAGCCTTTCCAGGGGTACCTGCTTGGCTTCCCTGGCATCCCAGTCGCTCCTGGCAGCAGGTAGGGAAGCGGTGGAGGCAGGGTGGAGCTGCAGCTGGGTGGGAGCAGAAAACACAGGGCTGGGGCTGGCAGCAGTGTGGAGCCCATGCCTGGGGGGCCAGCAGGAGCTTGGCTGGGCAGGGTATGGGTGTGTGGGAGGTGGGTGGGAACCACCCCCCCAGAGACCCCCCCCACACTCCCTCACATGTTGCACAGCCCCTGCTGCTGGCAGTGGCAGAAGACGGGAATACTCAGAGCGCTTGTTCCCCGCACAGGTGCTGGTGCCTGGAGGTGCACGGCTCCAGCCAGCACTGTGCCTGGGGGTAAAGAGTGCAGCCTGCCCAGCCTGCCTTTATTATGGGGGCTCTGCATGGCGAGCATGCAGCTCCCACATTTGAGCGGCACTGAGGAAAGCCCCATGCTGGAGCCAGCTGCCTTTCTCGTCCACTGCCACGCAGGTCATGGGATTGTGCCAGAAGTGGAGGGGAGCCCCAGCCCTTGATTCCCTATGAAGTCCTGGGACCTGCATGGCAGGAGGCAGCAAGGCAGCTAACTCCAGTGCAGGGCTTTCCTCAGTGCTGCACAAATGTGGGAGCTGTACACGTGCTGCGCAGAGCCCCTGCGATAGTGGCAGGCCAGGTGCCAGCACCTGTGTGGCGCAGAAGTGCCCCAAGCGCCCAGCCTGCTGCTGTTGCCGACAGCGGGGGTTGTGTGCCATGTGGTGGGAGTGTGTGGGGTGTCCCCACACCCACACATCTACCCCCGCCCCCCACACCCCCCCATAACCCCCCCCCCAACATAACCTAGCCCCCCCACATGCAGCCACACCCTCTCACAACCTCCTCCCACACACATTATACACAAGTATACAAAAGTATACTTTTATACAATATACAAAAGACTTCATTTTTAGTTATTATGCAATCCCCTCTATACACGCTATGCAAATATAAATCATGACAAATATTTTTTTGTAATAAAATTAAAATGTTATAGTAGGTATTTTGACTTTTAGTGTACGATTTGTTTTTTTTCTGGTTCCGTGATGGCAACCTTCCCCTCCCAAAAGGAGTATTTCTGGGGGGCAAGGGGAGGGACTTCTGGTGGCAAAGGTCAGGAATTAGGGGGGTGGGATTTCTAGTCCCAATAGGGGGCAGGTCAATTGTCAAGGGGCAGGGCTACCCATGCAGCCCTCGACAACTCACCAAAACTCATTAAGCAGCCCTTCAGCCAAAATAATTGCCAGCCCCTGGTTTAGCCACTCTCCACCTTCTCAAAAGTAGAATCTCTAACCGTAATCAGTGGCTCCCTCCCTCCCTTCAGGCCCCCTCTTTCCTTGTTCTTCCTCAATATCCACAGCTCAGAATGCTTTGGACTTCTGGCGCCAAGTGTGAGCTTCATATAGATACACAGTACTTGACAATATTCTCAGTTTTGCCACTGACATGCCACAATATCATCTGTTGTAAGTCACTTGACAACTCTCTAGAATGTGTGCAGTAATAACTGCCTACCTTTTGGGGATTTAGGGAAACTTAAGTAATGCTTATGTAGGACTTTGAGACTCCCACATTGAAATATGCTATAGATGTGAATTTCCCACCTATAACGTCTTAACCCAGACCAACAATGAAGGGAAAGTAGATACAAAACAACAGCTTCAATAGCCCCACTTATTCAAAAGACCTATTTTATTGCTTTGGATTAAAAAAAAATGCTCTACTAGGCTCAGAACGCATCTTCCTTTCTAGGTGCAGCTCCTAATATATTTTGGACATTACAAGAATACAAACACTAGTAGTGTTAGCATCAAACAAAAGAACATCTGTTTTGGCTTGCTTTACATTTTTCCAAAGTAAAACTCAACAACTGTATTTTTTATTAATAAACAGGGACATAAGCCAGTTTATTTTTTAAAAAAGAAAGTACATTACTACTACTATTTTCACATTTCTATATCAGTTTGTTTCCAGTGTCCCCCCACTCTCAGGTGCTTTCTTAAAAAAACCAACAAATAACAAATGTTATCCTCTTAGTTCAAAAAGAACTTGAGTTGTATAAAACTATTTACAAAGCCTAATATGTTTATCCTCATTCTTCTTACTCAGGCTATGGAGTAACCAGAAGTCTTCTATTCTTTGTCTTTCAAGGCTCACATAAATATTTTCATCATCATATTACTTAACATAAGGTACAACTTACTTTGTAATGCGGTCAATATTGGCAATTTGCTTCTGGTTCCGGATTATTTCAATAGCTGCCCAAAGATGCTGGATAGCTTTTGTATCCGCCTGTCGCCTTTTCGTTAAGCGTGCCATGACCCGTTTATTTGGTTACCTGCAGCTGATAAAAGCAAACAAAACAAATTAATCATGAGTTATGAAATGGATTACATGATGATAATCTGGCAGCAAACAAGATTATGAGGGAAATTTTGTTAACATACAAAAATCTAATTTGTATATTGCAGTATGTCTTCTACTCTTTGAATGGCTCTTCTAGCCTGGTCAAGGTGCTGCTGGTGGGTTCTTTAACATTAAACAATTGAGAAAAATGCAAAGAAATGCAGCAGTGATTCCAACGACCAAATCAAAAGGACAGCTGGAATTAGCAATCCCAAATTGGTCATGGAAAGTCATCTGGTTTGTAAGCAACCAATCTCCTCACTGCACAGGCTCCTGCCATTACTTTAAGCCTTTCATGTAGGCCTTAAGTAGTACTTGAGTAGAGCCCATTGTATTTTCCCAAGCCCTCAGCACTAAGATGTATTACACCCAGAGTTAATGTAACAGCACAGATCTCACTGTATTAACTGTTCATTTCCATCACTAATACAGATTAAAAATACCCCTTCTACATGTATAAGCTAGAAATATATTTTGAAGGAGGGTGAATAAAAAGAAAATTGGAACAATATCATTTTCACCACTCCCGAGAACCAACAGGACCAAAGCATTTATGATGCCATTTGCCTATCTAACCAGCCCTGTGTGGGAATATAATGAGCAGCTGGCTTTGTTTACAAATTTTCCAGAAGCTGCAGGCAATAAGTACAGATAAGCTGTAAATCGCCTACAGCATCATTACGGCAAAGACTCCCCTTTTTGAAGAGCTTAATGATGCATTTTGATCGCTAAATAACTTTCTTCCAGTGCCACCAATTTCTGAAAAAAGAAATGATGGATTTATGGCTCTGCTACTACATACACAACTTAATTTGAGAGCTCTGTGTCCTAAAAATGAATTCACATGGTATAAACTAAAATACGTATACCCAGCATGCAAGAGTATTAGCATCAAATGTCCCAAAAGAATGGCTAAAATGAAAAACGATGACATCAGTGAAATGTGATTTCAAGCATAAGGTAATAATAAAAAAATCACAACACTGCAAAAATTAAAACAGACCTAATCATTCTGTCACTTGTGAATACAGAACCTCTTTGCATTTATCTGACAAGAGAGTCAGTCAGACCACAAGTTTCTAATACAAGGCTTACTGCAGACCTGACATGGAGGCATAACAATAAAATAAAGAGATATTACGTTTACGTAGTTTTTTTCCATCCCAAACAAATCTGTATCTCAAAAAAATTATATTAACCCCACTTTTAAAAGAAAATGTCTATATCAAGATGATACAGATGTGATTAACGGGAGAGCAATGCCGTAACTGCATCATATTAATTTGGCTGCCTGCCATGCAAGAGGAGAAAAAGAAAGTAGCGAACTTATCCTAATGCTTTCCCATGTCCCCCTCCCCTCACCCATTTCTTGCACTTCCATGTTCCTCTGAACTATTTATAGTAACAAAATGCACATTTGAACATCTTTAGTACTAGAAACAGAGTTGTAGTCTCAATTGTCAATGAGGACTATAACTATCAAAAAAGATGAGAGCATCAGGGTTCTTGTTATACCTATTAGAAAAAGCTAAGGATGTTATAGAGCCCTCTAAGAGTCAAGAGGGGAAGAAGAATGGCAAAGACACTGCAGGCTGAGCAAAGTCATTATAAATAGGTGGGAATCGAGCATAACTAGATACTGAAGAGAAAGGAGAGTTGGGGAATTTTGAACTGTAGCATGGTACTAGAGCGTTCTATACAACGACATAATGCTAAGTCATCTTATTTCTCCTTCTACCTTTATAATATAACCTTGCTTTAAAAAATACAAGAGAAATGAAAACATTTTAGAGGGTTTAAAAAAGATAAGGGGGAAACTTTTAAAGGCACAAAAAATCTGCTTAGACTGAATTCCATGTGTATTTCTGAATATCACTTCCAGAAAGTTTAAAAGGAAGCCTGGTGGGAGCAAGGGAGGGATCTTTCTCAGAAGGAAAACCAGAGAAAATTTATTTCATTTTGCAAGCAGAAGAGGAAATATGATAGAGGCGTATAATCTATGAATGATGCAGAGGAGGTCAGCCAAGACTTTTTTTTTTTTTTACCCTATTTCACAAGATAACAGAACATTCCAAATAAAAAGCAGCAAGTTTATCAAGCAAATGTAATATTAAACTGTGGAATTTAATGACAAGACATAATTATTAATGAAAACCAGTTCTGTAAAATACCAAAATGATTTGGACACTTGAGTGAGAATGACCTCTGCACCAATGCTCGCTATGAAGGAATTGCAAGAACTAGGAATTGTCATGCTTCAGGGCATAAGCTGATTGCCAGCTGGGGTCAGAAAAAAGATCCTCTACATGATGTAATTTTGACTAATGGTAAGGCCATTAACCTTTTATTTTATTTCACTCCAAAGCAAATTTTAGATGCTATCAGAGATATATCAGAGATAGCATACTTGACTAGCGATAAAAGTGGTCTGTCTATTTAGGTTTCAATGTAAAATTCAGGAAAGAAACTTTCCTCCATCCTGACCTTGAGAGTAGTATATAGGAATGATTTCCACAATTTACAGTGATGCTCTGACTGCTTTTTAATATTTTAAAAATAACTAATGGAAGCATACTAGTTTTAGGCTATATACCCCAACTTGCCAAGGTAGCACTCAGCACACCTGTGGAGAAGGGTGGTTTTTGCCACCCCTGTGTCACTTTGACCCTGCGGACTACCAGGAGCCAAAGTGGCTTCAGCGCAGGTTGGAGCAACCTCAGGAGAATCCCCAGCTGCTGCCTCCAGGCAGCCTTAAATCCCTGTTGTGCAGCTGGAGCAGCACAAAGAGGATTCAGGGGGGACCAGTCTTTGGTCCTCTGTGTGTAAATGAATACCCTCTTGTGTCTGGAGGGAAGGAAGCGACGCCTGTATCTGAGACAGAGAGAGAGAGAAAGAAAATGACAACTGTAATTACAGGTCCTCCTAGCCATGTGGTTGCACAGCTGCATCGCATGCTGCAGTCACTGTACGCAGCAAGATGCCTCGCCTTCTGAGGAGCTGGCAACCAGAGGGTGGATAGTGAAAGGTTGTACTCAACTCCCTCGCTACTTCTGATACTGCTAGTATTGGTAATGGGGATAAGAAGCTTCACATCCCTCCAGCCACCTCCTCTGCACTGGCTAGGAAGAAGTGCTCAGGCTTCCTCTTCCCCTGGCAGCCTCTGGTGCCACCAGTGGTAGAGGGCTGAGGGGGCCAGACCCATCTTTTTTCAGGCCAGGGGAGGAGGTAGACAGGATATTCCTTGGTACAGTTTTCTTCATCCCTTCCATTCCTCACCTTCTCTCCACCGGTCTCTTCCTCTGGCTTCCAATTTTCTTTCTTGAAGAATCTGTCTACATGGGTCCCTGGGCAGGATCACCGCTCTAGATTCCAAATTCCACAGGACAGGGGTGTCAGCTCTTATTTATCTAGGAAACATCACGCATGTCCAAATCAAACACAGTAACACAGAGTACATACCTATCACATACTTGCTAGGATTTTCTCTGCCAAATGAATGTAATAGTTGTGACTCTTTAAAACAGATTTTACAATTAGCAGCAAATGATACATGTTCAGATGGTATACCTGATGCTTTTGGCATGTTTTTCAGAGGACGTTTTTTAATGCTAAGAAGCAGACAGTCCACATACCCATCAGTTACTAAAAGAGGCAAAATAAATTCCAATTTAAGCATCGTTTCACTTTGTAATTTTATAGCAGAGCAAGGGGCCTTTTGAACTATGGAACCAGGCTAATAAATTAAGGCATGTTTGCACCTATTCATTACATTCAGGTAATTTTCTCGTTATAAAATTAACCACAAGAGTCCACTCCCTACATGGATATAAAATTCTAAAGAGCCTTGCATATTTTTGCAAAATCATTAAGAGGTTAGGATTACAGATCAGCATTCATAGTTTATAAAATATTTCATAATACTGTTTTCATGCACAAGAAGATCCTGGCTGCTGATAAAAAAAGCTCCAGGTTGGAGGGCATTCACATATATAGAAAGTGTTCCTTCAAAATAGTATTTTTCAAGAATAAGAAAAGCATGGAAATCTTTGAGAGATTTCTAAACCTGAATTTAACAATTCAAATCTGTATTTGTGTGTAAATCCAATTCAATCCACTTCTATTACCATCACGTGCAGAATGCAGAATTTAATCAGTACTAACCAATTCTATCCTGGGATAGTTCCTTTAATTTGTTCAAGTTGTTCATTTGTAAAGTTGTTGTTTCAGTTCATAATATGATGCAAAGGAATTCTGAAGATCAAACTCTCTTGCTTTTTGTTTTGGAGCTACTAAATTAAGGCCACATACAAGCACTACATTTCCACTGGGAGAATTGCTGTTCTCCCAGTAAAAACCACAGGTCTATAAGCATTCATGCTCTTTTTTCCAGACCAAAAATGATAGTTCTGGAAGAAAGATAACCTAACTCCAACCACCTATAAGTGGCTCCCAGGAATGTTTCTCCTAGGAGAACAAATGCTTTTACTCTTCCTAAGGCTTGCTTATTATTGAACATTCTCAGAACATGGATTGACTTTGGCCACCTCTCCTATACAATTTACAGAGCTCGCTCTGTCTGCTCAAAGACCTCAACATTATTTCTTCAATCTGGCCACTTTCCTCTGAACGGTCATTGCAAGAACTGATACTGGATGCTGTTATATGGGCATGTCCAGACGAGTGAGGCTGCGCAGTATGTGGCGCCGCAAACACGTCTGCAGCGCCACATACCGCACAGTCAGGTGTTCTCAGCACTGCAAGGATGCGCCGCCTGTGTGTGCACTGCTCCGGTTTTTCCGACTCGTAGGTATCCTGAAAACCGGAGCTGGGCTGCCCAGAGCCATGCTGCAGCTGCCAGCCAGGCTTCTGCCTGGCAGGCTCACTGCTGCTGCAGCCCAGGAGGCCCCCAGGACCCCAGGTAAGGCTGCTGGGACCCTCACAGTACAGGCCCCAGCCTCCCCCATCACCCCAGGGTAACGTGCTGTGCGCCAAAGTGCACATCGCACTGGCTTTCCCCAGGGACAAGTGGCAGTGGCGCAAGGTGTGCCACTACTACTTGTCCCCAGAGAACCAAACATTGGCGCTTGTCTGGACACAGCCTATGGGTTTATGTCTCTTCCAGGACCATGTTGCTAGTTGCTACCACCACCTTGCAGCTCACTGCAGATGCTGATAAAGATAGGCCTCCATATTTAGATCAGCTTCAGTAAATCAGTGCTTGCATTACTCATTAAAGCCATTGTATTGTAGAGTTATGTAAAGTGCCTCCTAGATTAGTCAACTCACCAATAGCATTCAAAGCTACTCTCTATAGCAGGATGGAAACATCCAATGTTATCTAGATATTCGTAACTTTGTTCTTGATTTCTTGATTATAAGACAATTGTTTAGCAGTGCCAACTGGCCAATTAGTCTTTTGATGCATTTTGTTTACCAATGCATTGAGGAGGCAGAAAATGTTAAAGTCCAAATTTCCAAGTACTCCATCTACTCCATTTCCATGACAGTCATTAAATTCCTGGTTGAAAAATCACTGCCCATTTGGTGCCTTGATGAAGTTTCTGGAGAGCTGAGAAACGTTTAGATTCCCAGTATTTGCTATGGATACATTCTGCTCAGGCTGTCAGAAAATTCCTGGAAGCCAATGAAACTGAGGACAATGAAACTGAGGACATTTGTTGTTCAACAAGATTAGCATGAAGGTATGACCAATGGAAAAACAGGCAGGATGAAAAAAAGTTTTTTCTTAAAATCTGCCGTTGATGGTTGAGGATTCTGTTCACTCAGTAACGCACACACACACGGTCTTCGTAAAGTCCTTGTGCACTTTTAAACTTTAACAACTTAGGTTGTAGGTATGATAGAAACAATCAGTAAAAGGCATTTAAAAGCAAATTTATTAAAGTTTTAGGACAACTAGAGTACACAATGCTAGACTTCAACATAACCACCATCCATCATGATGCAGTGCTCAATCCGACCTTTCAACTCCTTGAAAACATTTCCCAGTTGCTCTCGAGTTACTGCACTAATTGCATTGGTGATCCTAGCCTTAAGTTCCACCAAAGAACGTGGTTTTGACAAGTAAACTACACTTTTAACATGTCCCCATAAAAAGAAGTCCAAAGGCGACAGGTCAGGTGAATGAGGTGGCCAAGCAATTGGTCTACCTCTCTGGTCCACCAAGGCACTTCTCTGGGAAAACGTCATTTTGGAACTGTCATACATTCAGAGTGTAGTGGCACAGAGCTCCATCTTATTTAAGAATAAATTTGTTATTACTTATGAAGTCTATCTAGCATTGTGTACTCTTGTTGTCCTAAAACTTTAATAAATTTGCTTTTAAATGCCATTTACAGATTGTTTCTATCATACCTACAACCTAAGTTATTAAAGTTTAAAAGTGCACAAGAACTTTATGAAGACCATATGGGTATAGTTTAAGTACAGTGGAGGCCAATTCACATGTGGGGTGTTTTTCTACTGAATATTAAGAAGTTAAATCTCCAGAGACTTCTTAGAGCCACAATATTGTATTTACATGTTAGTATTTAGCTGTTTCATTAAGGAGACGGAGGAAACATTCTGTGAATAAACTAAAAACCTAAAAATTTCACTTCCTGGGTGGGAAATGTTAGTAAGACTAACCAATATCAGGACTAGATTTAGATGTCACACACTGTCAGTGTGGATTTATCTATATCACTCTGTCTTTGCTGCATCAGGATAGTGAATTTAAGACAGGCTTTTCAAAGCAAGAGTTGGCAAACCAGAATTGGAAGAAACCAAAAGAAAAAAAAAAAAAAATCAGTGCCACTTTTTTTTCAGCTTTAGTCAGTGGGCGGACTGTGGGAATCTGAAACAGGCTCACCATGTATACTGAATGCCTGATGGATTGGCCCAAAGCTAAAAACTCTGAATCTTGATTGCTCAGCCCAGGTACCAGGCTTGCTTTAAACCCTGGAGCAAATCATTTAGCATCTCTTTCAGTATTTCCCTCTGTAAACAGATAATTAAAACTTACTTCCTTTCCTCACAGGGCTGTTATGAGATTTAACTAAGTAACCTTCACACAGCAGTTTGAAATCATACAAGAAACACGAGTTTAAAGTGTTATTCTTCTTTTTCATACAGGAGCATGAGGGCTCAAAGACTCAGTCTTCATTTTGTGTATTACCCATTTTACATTTAGAATGTATTTTATTTTTTAAATGACTTTATTTTTTACATTTCTCAGGCTGACTTGAACAGAGATTGTAACTCTCTTTCTTCACAGTAGCACAAGCCTCAACTTTGTGCTGAGATACCTGTGCTTCAAATACAGCTGATAGTTATCCACCTGGCCTGGCTAACTTGAGTCCTGTTTAAAATGCAGTAGTACTGGGTTGGGGAGATCAACACACAAACGAAGAAACATAATGTGATTATAGATACTAATTCTTACAGTACATTTTAAAAGTTCACACAAAACTGTATGTTTCCTAATTTGTAAGGCTCTTTTCTTGTATTCAGCAAGAACTTAGAGTCTCTAACTACAAAATCTGGAAGTTAAGTTTCTAGAGAATATTGCAGGTCTGAATTTCAACAACTCATTAAAGAGCTATAAATATTCTGCAAGTTAGTTTATAGCTAAAGTTGTGGTCTGAATTTCCTTTCATCACTGGTTACATTGGGTGGTTAGATTCTGACAGTCTTCTCTAAGAGAAAAAGCAAAAGCAATAGTTGCTTTTTGCTGTGTGGGGTTTCCTTTAGTTTATTAAAAAAGAAAAAGAAAAAAGAGGCTTCTCTTTGATTTTATGAAAAGTGGAGCGCGTTTATTAGAGGTTAAAACCACAGTATTTTCAATCTTTGAATATTCAGTCTTCATTTGATTCAAAGCCCATTAAAGTCACTGAGTGTCTTTCTATTGACTTTAGCGGACTTTGGAACACGGCCTGTTCCTTAACAGTCAGTGAGAGCTCTCTCAAGCCCCTCAAACTGAAAATGTGTGGAGGTTTATAAGAACTGTGTTGCAGCAGAGTAGTTCAACAAAAGAGCCTGTACATACAATAGGCAGAAAGTCTGTCTTAAAATATTTAACCCAAACAGCTTCAGAATCGTTTCAAATTTTAAAATGAAAAAAAAAAAAAAAAAAAATCAAGAAATTCTAAAGCTACAAGTCCTATACCAGGAGTGTTGCTTAGACTAATCCGCGCTAACGTAATATTTGTAATTACTAGTTAGTACTTTGATATAGAATATATGCAATATGTAATGTATTTTTCAGTGTCCTTATTGCAGAGGCTGTATGCTAGAAGGACACACTTGTTAGCATGATGATACTACATTAAACTACATGGCCACGTCCAGAAGAGCGTGGCCGTGTGGTATGTGGTGCTGCAGACGCCACATACTGCACATTCATGCA